GTAGATTAAGGTTCCGTAAAGCTCCTAAAGTAACCAAATCCTAAAAATGTAAAGCGATGCCGTAGTCAAGGGATTGAGCAAGGGCTTCGAGAGCCAAAAGAAGATTAGGTTTAAAAAAGGTAAAGCGAGGGTTGAACTTGAAAGAGGGAACCTCAGCAGGGAGGGGAGACTGAGTGGAGTGAGAGTATAAATAGGGAAGAGCAAGCAGAATGATAATTGATTAATTAGTGAGTGGAATGTTTACGGTGAGAGATGCTCGTGGGTATGCAGTGATGTTCAAGTGCTCGCTTGCGGTTTGCGACAGATACTGTATTGTCTGTTGAAAATTTTACTCACCTTTGAAGGTTTGACTGAACAAACTTTGACTGTTTGGCATTTGATTGATCCATACAGCAGCCATATCACCCTGCAACTCACAACTGGCAACCCACTCAACTGGCGCTCACCCTGCAGCTCATGTGGGTCCTAATGCCCCAGTGTAGTGACGGGGACACTATACTGTAAACAGGCGCCGTCCTTCGGATGAGACGTAAAACCGAGATCCTGACTCTCTGTGGTCATTAAAAATCCCAGGGCGTTTCTTGAAAAGAGTAGGGGTGTACCCCGGCGTCCTGTCCAAATTTCCCATCGGCCTTTATCAATCATGGCCTCCTAACAATCCCCCTCTATGAATTGGCTTCATTTCTCTGCTCTCCTCCCCACTGATAGCTGATGTGTGGTGAGTGTTCTGGCGCACTATGGCTCCCATCGCATCATCCAAGTGCGGATGCACATCGCATCAACCAATGTGGATGCTGCACATTGGTGGTGGTGGAGGGGAGTCCCCATTACCTGTAAAGTGTAATCTATTATTATTATTATTATTATTATTATTATTATTATTATTATTATTATACAGTATGCCTCTAACCCTTAAATAAAGATAATCTGTTGGTACCTGTACATAAGAAATCTTAAATAATTTACAAACAAAACATTTCATGTACCACATGCAAATGTAACATTTAACACAATTTTACAGGTTCTCAAAAGTGTTTTAGTGTTATATTAGTATTGTGTATTAGTGTATTAGTATTAGTAATGTCTGTATCCATTTCCATTTCCATACTAAATGAAATGGAAAAATAAACTAAAAGAAAAAAAAATAAAAATTTAATGCTACTTATCACAAAAAATGAGCTTTTTGACAAAGAAAATTGTTTCAATACCAAAGTGCATTACCTTGTATTACCAGTTTGCTTTTTCACACAAAAGCAATCCAATAATAACACCTAGTGCTCAGCTGACAACAGTTTGGCAGTGCACTTCAAAGGGTGGAGTGAAGAAGAAAAAAATGTAATTGAGAGACAGTTTAAATATTCAGGAGCCTCCTGTAACTGAAAAAAATGCAATCCGGACAATGACAACCTTAATGTTTATGTATTCTCACTGTTACTGTGTATCTGTTACTGCTAAGGTTTTTCACTTGTTTGATTGCTGTGAGATGTGCTGCGAGTATAAATAAAAGTATAATTAAAAAACATTAGCAAGAGGGCTTAATAGCCACACCAATCACAGCATGAGGAATAAAGCTACTATTGCATGTGCTTCTTTTTAATCATTTTAATCACCTTCTAGAGCCATTATTGCCATGAAGCAATTCACCTAGAACGATTAATAGCTTTTTAAATGACAGGCAAAGTGGTAGTTTTTCATGCTTTTATTAGTGTATTGTATTAAATAGGAAAAAAATTCCCCCCAATGTTACAGCAAATAATTACTCTTAGATGGTGGCGGATCCCATCATTGTTCAGCTTTCAGAGTACTCAAAGAAATCAATACAGGAATGATGCTGAAGCATCTATATTGCTGTTTAACTGGACAGAATATGTTGTTTTAAATTCACCTTGTTAAGGCACAGCATGGGCAGTCACAGCAAGCACCACCCATTCAGTATGTTTCAAAGCCTTGACCATTTGATTAAAAATACAGCTAAAGACAAAGATAAAGAGATGGGTGTCTGCATGTTCAGGTTGAGCCCTAAAATACAGACAGAACAGTTTTGGTTATGTCATTAGTTTATTATAACTAAGATTTCCCAAATTTGTGATCCTGTGTGTACTTGAGTCTACTGGCCATGCAAAAGTGACCTCCATGTCGTGGTTAAATTGCAGTGTTATCAAAGTATCGATCCAGAAATTTATGCTCTAGCTGGGAACTGGGTACTTGCAGTTCACAGCTATAGGGTCCTATAATGTACAGTATATTGCTCTGATTACCTTAATTCACAAATTGGCTGAATTGTTTGGATGAAAAATCTAATCAACAATTTTTCTGGTGTTAAAAAGTTGCAAGTTGAAAAGAACCTGCAGGATTGCAGCTCTTTAGTACTAGAAATGTCCATCTTTGCTCTAGCTACTGCTTTCACAAATCAGTATTGGAGAATTTTCTGGATTTTTCTGGTGTTTTCTGGATTTTGTTCTTCTTGAACTACTGTAAATTAAAGCCTTAATATATCTTAATATTAGCCTAATAAAATCCCCAGTTTATTTTGTAAGTACAGATTTAAAATGTAAACGTTTATGTAACCTTGACATAACCAGCTGTTTCAGAAATTAGAACAATCTTAAAAGGTTTAGTTAAATACAGTATGTTGTTAATCGAATTAAGGCTTTAAAAATCAGTAAATACAACAATCTGTGAAGTTCATGGGCTTGGAGTACAAATGAAAAGAGATGGAAGTGGATGGTTTGGTGTCTTGGAGGACAAGTGTACAGATTTTATCTCTCCTGTGCAATTACAAAGGCTGCTGTGGTGTGTAAGTATTCGTGTTGGAGTGGTCTTAAAAAACACAGCTTAATTATCTTTGTAATAAGGAAAGAGGAAGAAAAATTAAAGATAAAAAATGTAATCAGAAGAAACATGGTAAGAACACTTACTGTATATAATGCTACTTAAACATATGGCTTTTCAAAGAATAATGCATGTTTTGATAGATGAAGTTAAGGAAATAAATACTGTGACTTTTTGCAAGGTACAATGAATCAATTGAAATTCAAAGTAATGCCAAAAGAGATAGTGTACTCACAGTGATTTAAGGATGATAAAAATTGTAAAGTATAGTATGCTCCAGGGAGGATTTTTTAATCTATCAATATGATGCAGTGTTTATTTTCCCTGGTATTTTACGTGTGGGCTATTAAAACCGCTACCATAAACGTAAAAACATATTTTCTGAATCATTACACACATTTAAATTCACGTTTTGCTAACAGCTATACCGCCTTAAAGGCTATTCATTTTTTTGATCTCCATAGCTTCAACAAGGCCGAACCTGGTAATGATCTTAAATTGAATCTCAGGCAAAGGATGCGAACCCTGGTATTCAGGCTCCCTGAGTCAGGCAACTTCAAATTTATCCTGTAGATTAATTGGGCATGTCCAGTCCCCATGGGTTCTGCTCTTCTAAAAATGGAAGTTCTTGAAGTTCGGAAGAGATGACAAAACCAAGGCTTTCACGTCTGCTGTTCTAAATCATAGTCATCTCCTATGCCATTTCTCAAAGCTATATATACTGTATAATACTAAAATTCCTCCTCTGCCCCATTTCCCATCTTTGCAGCTACCCCTTGGTTAATGCCTTACCTACAGTAGCTTCTTTGTCCTACAGCCTCTCTCCTCAAACAAATTTAATTCTTGTCCATTGTCTATTGTGAACAAAAAAGGCCTTAACAAGAATAACACAGAATGATTATTCCTCTGTATTTAGTTACACAGAGAAAGTATCTGCTTCCCAAGCCACCTTCAAAATTAAACGGTGGTAAATAAAAAGTCTTCGTTTACTTCAACAAATAGCACTACAGAGAGCAAAGAAGAAAATCAAAGTATATTTTATTAAAGTTAGTAAATTACAACAATAAACAAATAAGCAATTATTCATTAAACATGCCAGTGAAATGTATTAACATTTAAAAATGTAGTATAATAGAACTGGCGTTCTTCCCTTCCAGCCAAATAATTCAGCATTTTGACTTTGCATTTTCATTTACATTTGTATTCATTTCTATAAGCAATGAATAAAGCTAAGAAATAACAGTATCTTTTTTTCATTTTCTTATTAAAAATAAACAGTACTTATTCCCATAAATACTGTATAATACAATTATATCTTCCTTCATCATTAATGAAAGTGACCTTAATTAGCAGTCCCATAAGTGACATAATACAAGAATAACATTGTATAAGAGTATGAACACGGCATTTGTAAAAAGAGAAAGGAATAACCGAAGAAACTGATTTACCAATAACAATTACAGAGTAGAAGGCATTAACATCAGTAAATGGATACAGACAGAAATTAATCCAATCAGAAATGATATTTTTTCTGACAAAAAGGACACTTCTCTCCTTCTTCCACATTATTATGAAAATCAGTTCGGCAACATTTCCTATCCACATTTTCTGTCCACTATATTACATACTGTACTGTATTTAAATTCTATTTTCTGTACCTTAGCCATTCCGAATGTAAGAAAAGTGGGTGAAACTCAAATATTTGTTTGATTTTTCATCTGTTGCTGTTCCAGTTCTTTATACCACTAAATGAAAAATAAAATAGATTTTTATATGTGCTATAAAAAAAGATAACCATTTTTACAGTTTTTAACTGAGGGAATAAAAAATAACATATTGCTAAGGGCACATTCTATATTCACTACAATAACCCTAACATTGTTGTCACTCAGAGCAGCTTGCATAGATTCTAAAGTAACGTTCTAACTGATTAACCACGATATTAAACTATTGTATAGTGTTTTTTATGATGGCTTTTAACATCTAATGTGAAATGATCTGCTTCAGAAAACAAGGACACATCTGCTAAGGAATTGTCTTCTTACCTTCTTTGCAAAACTGGACATGTTTAAAATTTCTAATGTTTAAAATGATCATAATATTTAAAAATACAATATAAGTAAAAATATATAATATATATACAAACAAAAAAAGATACAACGCTTGTTCACAATATTCAAAAACACTTAAAAGATAAAAATACAATGTTCTTCAGATTGATTCATGTCCCCAATTAAACACAACAAAAAGTATAACAGAATAAGTTAAAGATTTTATAATTATTCTTACATAAACAAATTCTAGAATGGTATTTTCGTCATATTTGTTCAAAACAATTGAAGTCCAGAAAACATGAGGGTCCTATTCATTCACACCCCTGTGGTTATTGTTTTGTAAATCCTCCTCTGCCATGGAATACTGTACATAGACACCTCTTCTGGTGTAATGTGGGGTTCGGGCTCTTCTGAGAGGGGATTTCTGACCATTCATCCATCTTTCAGACCCCCTGGTTCCTGCTTATGAACTTCCCCTTGAGTTCAGGCCACACATGTTCCATTGTTAGAGATCTGGAGATTATTATGGATGGATGAGATCTCCGACTTTGTGTGCAGATAATCATTTCTTTGTCCGTTTGGATGTATACATCATATTGTTTTCAGGCTGGAATGTTCATTTTCAGAATTTCTTGGAAGAGGGAACCAGTTGTTTGACCAAAATGTCCTCGCACATGTTGGAGTTTATGATACCACCGCCAGTACCTTAAATTAACAAGGGGTCCAGGACATGCAGATCCAAAACAACCCGATAGCGTAATAGACCTTTGGCCATATTTCACAATAGGTATGAGAAATTTCTGAACATGAGCTTTTCCTTTTTATGTGAAATATAACATTTATGCCCATATCCAAACAGTTAAATTTTCATTTCTGCTGTACATTCTTAATAATAAACACTACAGTGGAAAGTACATTGATAATGCTTCATGTGAATTCTTTTACAGCAGTCCACCAATTTGTGGTCAGACTTTTTGCCTGCAGTCTTCTAAGAGCTTTCTACCTTAATCACGATGATGCATGCTTATTTTTACCTGAGGGCACTGTGTCATTTGTAGAAAATTCTTGATATAAGGATATTTAAAGAGAATTTCAAAACATTATCTTGGATCTTAAAAAAATACATACAGTATACCTACTTGCATGTAGCGTCTATTAATGAACTATTAATATACAGTAATTAGGATTAAAAACAATTAACAATAAATGGTAATAAAATATTTTTTAAACACAGAAAATTTTGTCTTACATTCTTGAATTGATTTATTTTCATTAATACCCATCAGAATGCGCATTTGTTGGAGGAATACCAAATGCTCCTACATGACCTGCGTATGAATCTAATATCAGAGCCATAAAGTCCTCACCTGTCTCATCCATTGTTTTTATTTGTGGCTCTTTGTCTATTAATAATTTAAAAATATCCGAGGTGTTTGATATTCCAGATATGTATGTTGAAAATAATTTGGCATTTGTCATTTCCAAATGGAAAAATGGACCACATACTGCCTCTTGAAAAGACATTTTATAGTGTACTTTATTAATAATAATTTGAGCCACTAAATAAGGCACAGACTTTCCTCCAGTAACTCCTATCCCTATGATCTCATCATCATCTTGGAACTTCAGGACTGAAAGACAATTCCAGGAAAGCATGTTAGCTGCAGAATGTATAGTGAAATCATTGAGAATAACTCCTGTGGAAGGTAAGAACTGCTTCAGTCCAAATGAGCTGTTGAGTGAGGCAGAGATTATTAAAACATTACCACTGCTATCGAGTACCCCAATATGACTCCCCACTGTATTTAATGCAAATAGATCTCCAGGGCTTTGGTGTTCCATGGCCAGGCTATTACTATAAATTAGCTTGGTAGTGTTTAAGAGATTGATGTATGAAGAAGCTCTGCTGTTAAGATCTGCAATGCTCTGAAGAGACAGGTTGTGCTCACCAGCTCTTTTTAATATATCAGATATTATCCCTCCAAAAACTGGTGAAGCAGCAGTGAAGACGGTATATTTGTCTTTTTTCACAGTAAGAGGGTCATTGATTTCTCCTTTACACCTCTGAACATTTTTGACAAAATCTTGCTTCTCTGTCTGGGGAAGATCTTCAGCCAATTTCATGCCAAGCATTTCTGAGAAATGCGAGTTATTTTCCATTAAAACACTGACAGTTTGCAACAGCTCAGATAACTTCTGGTTAGTGACTTTAGAACCTTGACCTTTTATGCTACCGTTCTTATGACAGAAAAGGTCACATAAATCGGATTTAATTTTTTCCGTGTCAGATTTTAATGCACTTGCAAGTGTTTCGTCAATGGAAAATCCATTCTTTGCAAGTCTTATTGCACTGTCAAATAGTTTTGCCCAGCTTAAATGGCCAAAGTTTTCATGGAGCAGTTTAAGGCCTTGTAGAACAGTTGGTATATTGTAAGCGCTTGAAGATGTTTCAGGACAAACTGAATGTATTGCTTTTGATGTTCCAGAGGTTGCATTGAAAAGTATGGCTGAAAACACACCACCTTGAAGAAAAAAAACATATATTTAGATATTTAAAGTTTCTGCAATGTTAATACTGTATACAGTTTCAAACATCTTTCATATACAGCACCTTGTCTATTTTAAAAGTAGCTCAGCTTGGGGTTTTCCACAGTTTTCAGTTTGGATATTGTGTTTAACCCAATAAAAAGGTACTACACTCCAGAAATCTGGAAATTAATAGACCAACATGAAACAAATAAATGTTTGAGACCATCAGATTTACACACCAATCAGTTTCAGTTTTGTATTTTCTTCAAAGGTGACCAATAATTTACAAATAGCATGCATATAATCACAAACCTCAAACACTTTTATTTCTTATTTAAATATTTGCATTTGCTTAATGTCACGCCCTCTGCAGCCAGAGGGCGCTCCTTCTCTGTCCTGTCTCTCATTTCCGGTTCTCTGCTGTCCTTCCGGTGTTTCTCTCTCTCTGGGGCTATATATTTCCGGGTCTTTCAGTCTGCCTTGGCTCAGCATTGACATTCGGATGTCCTGAGACCCGCCTAGCACCAGGTCGCCCCGCGTCTGCTACCTGAGGGCATAGGTTTCTATAAGGCATTTCCTGAACAGCTGAGCCCGGGCTATCCCCCGTGTCACCGCTACACATAGGATCTTTTCACTCTCCTGTCATTCCACGGTTCGTTCTTTCCGATATCCGTGACACTTAATTTCTTGGGTTGTTCAATGCACGCCCTTACTTTAACATAATATGATCTGCCTAATGTAACTTCCCATTAAATCATTTTCTGCACGATTTGGACTCCTGGCCCTAGAGAAAGCTAGTTAAACTACACAGTTCATGATCAAGCTACTAAAAATGATTGATTTTGAAATGACTGATGAATAATCCCAGAAAAATCAAAATCTGATCTTGACAGCTGTGAAGTAAACATAACGTTAGCATAATTTTTAAAGGTCTGTAAATTGATTATTCTAACTGAATAGCACATATGTTCTAAAATAATCGTAATATTAAGAGAAACATTCAGTAATTGTTTTGCATTACAATTCATTTTACTATCCCTTTGAGATTATGAATGTGAACTCTATACCGTACTCTGTACTCTTTATTAATACCACACATGATTATCACCTTAGTCTTTTTCTAAAGTTAAGTAAGCTACAGTATGCTTATTTTATAATAGGCTTGTGCTTGCATTACTTTTGCATTAAAACAGGTTGAATAAGTTTTGAAAAGAAAGTCTATAGAAGCTGTAACTTTAACCCCAGCAACAGCAGTTCATCACTTAAGAGATTAAATTGTTTGTAATAGAATGATACCAGTGTTCTCTTGGGGCCAATAAATCATCATTGTGTTTTCCAGTGTTCTGTTTTGTTCAGGCTTAAAATAAACAAGGTGTTTACAATTAAAAAAACAGAAGTATCCTCAATGAAACTGATATACTGTACAAAACCAAGGAATCAGCTTTAATTTTTTTTAAATAACACATGATTTATGTTATAATATAATATATTACATATTATAAATGTATTTCATATATTTTGAAATTTAATGATTATTTATATTTAAGCGGTAACATTAGTACATTTAAATTTTTATACTATAGATTTAGCTGCAATCACATTCTTAACTATTTAATTGAGAATTAAGAGCATCAATATAGTAATAAAAAACTGACTGTAACCAAACACTGCAGAGATACAGATTAGAAGGACCACAAGCTGAGTAGCCCTGTGTTGTGCCAAATGCTTCAATAAATACAGTTTTCCTAAGGGCTGGACACATATTGTACACAACTCAATTGACTACAATGTGTAGGACATTTTAAAGGATCAGTAAGTACAAAGCTGTTGAGATGTTTTTATTTTGTAAATGAATTCAAATTGGTTGATTTAATAGTACCAATTAGCTTTATTCATCAAGGTTATGCTACACAATTAAAGAAATGAGACATTCAAATGTTTTCTTGTCTCATAATAAACAAGGGCAGATGTTTCTCCCTCCAGAAAAAAAACAGGAATTCATAATTGGAAGCAGAATGTCAACACCAAGCTCTTTGTTAATTTTAGTAGTAGTGAACTTCAGATAGGTATTTTCAAAAGAGTAATACAGGAGCCAACAGAGAAGTTTCTCACCTACTCCAGCTGTGTGTGGATGAACTACTCCAAGGCAAAGCAGAGAAGCTATTCCAGCATCCACAACATTACCTCCATCAACAAGAATACCCCTGCCAACCTCTGAACAGACAGCTAAAACGAAAGAGTGACAATTTTCAGGAGATCATTATGGATAGTTAAAAAATTAATTGTGGTGAAAGACTAGTTTTAAAATAAACTTTATTGCACCAGAAAAATAATACTGTATGAATTAAAACACCTACAGTATATATTCAACTCAATACTAATGTATTGTGCCATTTCAAATAGATACGACTGAGATACATTTTTAACACAGTTGAAAATAAGAATAGAAGAATAGTTTATTTTTGTGCTAACTTTTTTAAATAAATGAATATTTGCAGTTCTCATGCAAGGGAAAGAATCTCTAGTTTTTTTCAACATGCTTAAAAGATGGTGCAAGCAAGCAACCAAATAACCACAAACAAAAACCTTGCATTACATTCTACTGCACAGACAAATGTGGGAAAAAATAGTATAATTCAAAAAGCACAGTAAGGATTTGAAGGAATGAATCCTAGAATGTGTTGACATTACCCACCTGAGTCAGTAATCAGTACACCATGATGATACATAGAAGAGTGATGGTGGTCGTGTTCATATTCTCCGGAGTCATCTGTCCCCTCTCTTGAGTGGCTGTGGTGCTCTGGGCTTTCTTCGTCTTCATGGTGATGGTCTCCTTCATCATGATAATGGTCATGACCTTCCTTTTTCTCACTGTTCCAATGATCCACCGCAGGTGCTGTGTGATTATGGGAGTCGCTATCTGGCTCCAGGCATCCATACAACTCATAAAAGACAAACCCTACAGCCACAGTCAGAAGCACTACCGCTGCAGCTATCCTGATCCAAGTATCTCTCTTTTTCTTTCTTAGTCTTTCCTGTGAAGACAATCTGTAAGATCAAGAAGTGAGAAAGGGGATTACAAATAAAGATGCTTATAGCAGTTGTGAAGTACAATCAAGATACAGGGGATTACACTTCAGAATGGCAATGAAAAATAGAGGGGATGAGAGGGCATGTCATCAAGATTCGAAATGCTAGTAAAATAAGACCCCTTCTATTGTTTGGTTTGAATTTTTACAAATACCACCACCTTTCTGTGGAAATCTGATGTATGTCAGAAATAATATATTGGATTAATCTTCTGTACTATATATAGTACTCTAATACTTTCAAGTTTCCAATACAACTCTGATTGACATATGCTTCTACCAAATGCTTTAGTTTTAACATAATCTGTCTTTATATTCCATGCATGTTTTAGATTAAATGTGCCTTTTTTTTCATTGGTCTTGAGTTTCAGTACAGAATGTGACATCAGAAAATTCCCCAAAGCAGTACTCTTGATACCTAGTTACAGTAAGAACACATCAAGCTTTTCTGCAATCTAACGTTGCCAGAAACATCATACTGTACTGTATATTATAGAGTATATACACATAAACTTTAGACTATATGAAACTATGTTTTGAATGCTAACACATTTTTCAATGCTGACATAATTGGCTGTTTTCTAACATATCAAAATGGATTTTTTCGCCTTTTTATATAGAAACATGAAATGTAATTTCTGACTAAGCATCGAGACAATTATTGTGAATTTGATGCAGCAATCATTCTGTGAATAGTTTTCTTTTTAAACGTACACTGATAAACTGTTTTCGTCCAGAAAATTCACATCTGACAATTTCTAAAATGAAGTTGTGTTAAATTCTAAATACAGTGAAGGACTGATAAAGTAGAAAAAATCCAAGCATATAAAAAGATTTACATATTGAGGAAGCAATTTTGAGCGTAAAATATAACTCATGTGAGGAACCAGACGAGAATTTCTTATTTTGTCCAAATTAACTTGCAGCTGGACTCCTGATAATACTTATGCATCATCTATGCATGTTTAACCTCATACTAAATGTAATGAGTATAATGAAATATAATGGAACATACTGAAATATATTTTTCATTTAGTTAGTTTCAGTATTTCATCTTAGTTTCCCTGTTTATGATTGTGAAACAGATAAAAAGAATAATACAATATAATACACAATACAGGGCAGAGTGGTGGCTCTGTGCCTGTGGCTAGAAGGTTGCCGGTTCAAATCCCACGGCTGGCAGATGAGTCCTACTCTGTTGGGCTCCTGAGCATGGCCCTTAACCCCAATTGCTCCAGGGGTGCTGTACAATGGCTGACCCTGTGCTCTGACCCCAAGCTTCTGTGTCTGTGTCTCATGGAGAGCAAGCTGGGGTATGTGAAAAGACAAAATCCTAATGCAAGAAATTGTATAAAATAAGTGATCTTATTGTATAAAAAAAAGTATACTGAGTAGCAAAACAAAAAACTTCTCACTTTATTTATGCAAGTACTGTAATAGAAAAATAGGCATACAGATTTTTTATATTAATTAGATTCCTTTGGCATCTTTTTTTCATTGATGATGCACTACCGATTGGGTACAGGTGATTAACTTAAATTTTAATTCATATAAAAAAATAAATAATAAACCAATATGCCCTGCTTAACACGATAATACACCTTTGTGCCATCAGTAGGTCTAGTACAATAGTTGAGCAAAGTCCTCTTTAATGATGAACAAAGGTTTTCTGTATACTGCACCACAATATTGGACTTGGACAGCAAATGTGATGTACTGTGGATTTGAAGAACATTATGCAAATTGTACAACACACCAATCAATAAGTAGTACCAGGTGCAATGATTTGAGCAGGAATGTCTAGTTCTTACACTTATAGTGATGATGGGCAACCTGACTGTATGACATTATATTGATTATATAGTGAGACCTCAACTGCTGCTCTTCCAGGCTCCTGATGTGGCAACATTCCAGAAGAACAATGCACATCCTTATGTTGTTGTGTAGCAAAGGTTTTCCTCAATTTAATAGTTCTACCTTGGATGTCCTTATTGCCAGTCTTGAACCCCATTGCACATCTTTGGGATGAGCTGGGACAACATGTGTTATCTAGGGCTCAGAGAGCAGGGAATAGGCACAGGGGTATCTATGCTCTATGAGAGGAATAAGTCAGAATCCCACAAGTCAACATCCTGGTGTAAAGCATGTGTTGCAGATGCTTAATTTCTAGTGCTGGCCACATCTACTACTAGCCTGTAATTGTGACAAATGTTGACTAGTAAAATGAATTTAACTTGGTCAATACTGTTAAATAAAAGGTCAGTGCTCTGTTACAAAATATTTGGTCATTTTCCAAATGTTAACTTATTGAACATGTTGTAATAAGTTAATACGTTCTTTTGATACATAGTATATGTGCACAGAAAGGTGGAGAATGTTTAATGAAAAGCAAAGCAACAATTCCTACCAAAAAACAAACGTCTCCATTCTTGTCACATATACTGTACATGGTTATCTGTTTTTAGGCTTCTTCTAGCATTTCAACTGCACAGCTCACCTACGTAAATGAAAATTATAGGGAACAAAAAGAACAAAATATTCATTGGACCACAATTTCTTCCATTACCGAGACATCAATATTAATGCAGATATGAAAAGAAAATGCCTCTTTAAGTTAGGAGGTACTGAGTTTTAAAATGTAACTTAACTCAAGAGAAACAAAAACAAAATAAAAAAACACCATCAGGCACACAAACATGTACAGTATATACAGTACAGTAACTAGCTCATTATCTGTACACCATTTTCCAAAAGACTCACTTTTGTCCACATTTATTTTTTAATTGTGTGCGTTGCATGTATTACTCCATGATGTCATGACTGGATCAGAATGACCACCTCACCTTCAAAAAGTAAATTATATACAGTACAGCATGCTGTAATATTGCAGTAATTCCAGAGTGGCTAACAAATATATTCAGAATTTAACTACAGTATAATTGCAATTTATTGTTACTGGATATTTTTATAGTTTGTGAGTAATGTGTTCAAGTCAGATTCACTAAATTCATGTGACAGATATCTTGAGATGTTTTAGTGCAAGGCATGACTATCCATACTGCCTGCCTTCAATCATTGAACAAAAACTGTTATTCTCCAATAGCATGCTCACTCGACAGTCTTATTACTGTAAAACAATGGTTATGATGTAACCTTAAATGCAAGAAAAGACAAAATGGGAAGAGTTGTAATTAAATGCGTTTATAATGCTAAAAATGTGGTGTCATTAAAAACGTTTTTTTTTAGTGTTCAAAACATAAATTTGATTTTTTTTACATAAATTTCACAATAAAATAAATTTCCAGCTTGTTGCTTTATTTTAATATTAGCATAACTATTACATTCAGCTTCTATTATCTGCATTACATTTGATAAAAGTGAAGCTCTCTAAAATACAGATGCAATTATTTTGTAGGTCTGAATGTTAAATATTACAAATATCCAGCATCCTGCACAAAATTTGCAAAAGAGCTGAACAACTATACAATGTAATACAATTCAAACTCACATGCTTTTAGATGTGAGTTACATTTTACAATAAAGAAAAATCCACTTATTCACTGAAAATCAACTTCAATTTTTACAAAACCTGAACAAATAATCTACTGTAACAGCCCATTTGTTGTGTGAGCATACTGTACAATGAGAGCAAACATACAGTAATGAATATGTTAATATTAAATGAGTTTAAAAATGATAACCTGGTCATGTCTTTTGATATTTACGTAAATACTGTGATGCTATGTTATCAAATGATCATTAAAAATAATAATGGAGCTTCAAAGAATGTGCAATTTAAAATGGCAAGATTACTCTCACAGCTGTCACTGCCAAGGAGCTGGAAACCTTTTAGCACTAACCATATAAGTGTATATACAAGTCAGAGGTGTAGATAAGAGTCTCAGGACAAAAGATATTTGTAAAGTAACCTACAGTGCCCTCTAGAAGTGTAGCGACAGCAAACATTGTTATTTCTGCTCTTCATTCAAGCAATTTCTGTTTTAGATCATACAGTAAGATTAACATTAATGATGAGTACAATATAAAATACATTTTATTAGGGGTAATTGTGTTTGCATTTTACCACATTAAATCAAAAGCACGGATTGTATTCAAGCCAGTTATCTCAAGTTACCATAAGTATTGGGAAAAACTCACTAAGTATATTTCAGAGTTGGTTTGGTTGTGCATCTCTTTGAAGCAATAAGTACATGAAACCTGGGACCTATTTTGCCCAACAAACCTACAGTATTATGGAATTAGCTGAAATCACTTTTGAGTTCTCGTTGAGGGGGGAGATTCTGACTTTACCTTTGTTAGCAGGTAAAATGCATGCTCAATTGGATTTAAATCTGGCAATTGGCTCGGCCAGTCTAAGATTATTTATTTTTTTTCCAGATGAATTCCTTGCTTAGATTAACTATGTTTTGATCATTGTCTTGCTTTGTGTTAAAGGCCCAATATCTATTACAGTACATACAGGTAGCAGACAAAATATTTCTGTAAACTTCAGAATTAATTCTCCTGCAGCCATCATTACTAACATACTGTAATCAATAAAGACAAGAGATGGCCAAGCCTCTAGCCATGAAATGAATAGCCTCCACCATGCTTTAGAATTCGCATGTAAGTAAAAAGATTAACCTAGAGGCCAAGACAAACCCAGACAGATAACATTATGGAAAAAAGAGGAACTGTAGAGGTTGCAAATCACACCACCTCTATTGTGAAGCACAGCCTGAATTGGGAAACATGGCTGCCTCTGAAACTAGCACACTCTTCTTAATTCTAAGTTATATAATAAGAAATAAATAATAAATGTAATAACTTAATTATAAGTTATGCAGATGCCAAAATTAAACTTGGCAGGAATATTTGGCATTCCTAGCAGGACAGCAAGATCTGTTGTTACAATGTGAAAGTACACAAGTACACCCAGGACTGTGGAAGCGGAAAAATAAATATTTTGAGAGGTCAATAAAACCCCAAGCTAAAGGCCTGGGACAAAGAGAATCTTTTGACACACTATAAAACAGGGATGGGCTAATACAGAAAAGGTTATGATGCACAGCCTTTCCTTGAAATTGACTGGATTTTGCGTCTTTTGGACAACTAAATGGGTAGCTAGCTAATCAAAACAGTGAAATTTGTTTAATAAGAGAGTACAGTATATTTGTAAGTGTTTCATATCATACAGTAAGAAATCAAACAACTTTACTCATGTAGAAAGAGAATGTGTTCTTAAGTCATCTAGTGTCTTAGTTTTGTAGAAAGTACTTTTCCTGTATTACTTACTAATATGTGACGTTGCTATTAAAATTCGTAAGAAACACGTTTAGATATTTGACATACTGTATATAACATGGACATGTTGATTGGAATTCAGTGATTTCGGACGAACAGCAGCTGGCACGTCTTGCAGTGTACATTATGAAACTGAATCACTGTCCTGCCATTATTGGTAAGAGACATTCCTCGGTGTAATCCGGTTTTACAAGTTAACCAGAAGTGGCTGTTGTTAGATTACAAAATTTGCTTTCATCTGGTTTCATCTGAAGACTATTGTTACTATTGAATACACATGAACATATGGAAACACCTATTTCACCACATGACGTACACATATCAATGTCTCAACAATGTTGTATTTACTGCAATTTACACCTGTAGCTTAGATCATTAAACTTTATTATAGTAAACTCTTATGCAATGTAACTCGAATTTTAATTAAATAAATAATACGTAACTGAAAGTTCCAAGGACGTTTTTTCTTGCAAAGGACATAAGCTAACTTGTTTCGTAGTTCATGACTAAACCTAATGCCAGTTACTACGAGTCAGTGCAAGACAGTCAGCCATAAATTTCTATAGTGCTTAATAAAATGTATATTTCGAGACTCGGAACATGCCATAGGATTGACAACATATAACTTACGGATATAAATACACTGTGACTTCGTTGTCTTCTTTCTCCGAGTCTTTGTCACTTCCCTGTTCTTCGCCACTTTCAGGACACTCACTCCGCAGTTTCTCGTACCGAACTGAGCTACCATGAACCATTTTCTTGGTGGTGAACTTATTTAAATTCAGGTAGCAATCTAGAAAACCTCATTAAAGCTCTATCTCCCATTGAGATCTTGTTGAATTATCTAGTTTTTCTTTCATTATCTACTTTCATTGAAGTACAGCATGTGTATTGGGTTATCTAACCTACCTCTTCCTGCCTTGCACCTGTCACAGATGTTTCTACGGTAACCGAACTGCACTCCAAACCCCTCCCTTACCTGTGAATGCTCTTGTTTATTGAATACGAGGTCGATTTTGTCACAAAATATTATTTTTTGATATGTTGCTATCAGCACAGATCAGATCTGCACATACTGAAACACGGTTATTATTAAAATTTGTGATGCTAGCTCACTATCGTCGAATTTAAATGAATAAAGTAGAGTATTATGTTTAATACAGGGAGACAGGATTTATTCAGGAATATCAAGGTAAAATAGCATTAAAAATAATTGCGCAATATTTCTAAAGTGTTGGTTCAGTCCATATGAAATAATTATGCAAGTCTGAAATTCCTAATAGAAGCCTTTTCTTTCAAACTTTTAAAGAGAGCAAGTAACTTTTATGCACAGTATATTGAAATTTGAATCCTGAAACATTGTAAAGACTCAGAAGAACACTTAGCATGACTATAGTGTGGGTCTCAGTCAGTTTGCAGAAGCAGGAATAAACATTCTGTCATTTTCCATGAGTGTTTGAAACTGATTAGACCTGACCTTATCAAACTGTCAGAAATAACCTTTATTTCAAAATTAATTTCTTTGAAACATTGATAGTTATTATCCATTGACCTCTTGATCTGCAGTTGTTAATAAGCTCTGACCTCACCCAAGCTTATAAACTTGCACTTTTTTCAGCTACTCAAAGGAACTGTATATGGTATCTGTCTTGTCTGCCTATTAAAAATGCTGTTAAATCACCATTTCTATCACATTTTAAGAGGCAATTTGCTTCTCATACAGATATATTATTATACACCGTCTAGATGGTTTAAAAAAAATCAAACTACTGTGCCATGGTTGAATAAAGTTAAGTAAACCTGAGGGTAAGTAAAACTCAAGGTCCATTTCCAAATCAATGTATCCATTCTCTATCCACTTCTTCCAGTTCAGGGTTGCAGGTCTCAGAAAGCGATGGGTGCAAGATGTGCAGGGCAGACAGACACACACTCACATCTAGGGCCAGGGCCAGTTTTTGCCAGAAGTCAATTAACCCAACAGTATGTTTTGGACTGTGGGAGGAAACCAGAGCACAAGGAGAAAATCCACATGAACACAGGAAGAACATACAAACTCCACACAGACAGCACCCCAGGAACTGAACTCAGGGTTTCAGCACTGCAAGGCAGCAATGCTGACCACCATGCTGCCTCCAAAGGTAAATCAAAAACACTTCACAGTTGGGAAAGACTTTTATTTTTCAACATAATACTCTTTATTTACATCCACACATTTATGTCATCACATTACAAGGTCATACTGTAGATGCCCTTGTAACAGAATTAGGATTCTCAAAGATTTATCTTCAAAGGTTCAAGAAGATTGAGATCCAGTGCTGCAGTGATCCAGACTGTAATGTTTGTGGAAGTACAGTTTAAAGCCTTGCTCCACCATGAGCTACACTGTAACACTCAACATGTGCCATGCTGCAGAAAAATGTACTGTACTTTGCTTCTATGAGGGCAGGAACTAGGCCACGAAGAGACCAACGTTGCTCCATTCGTGATGCAAGAATGGCTCAGGGACCAAGCAACATCCTCTTCTTACTGAGATATCCATGACCTCTTGATGCTGTGACAGAAGCAAATGGAGGTGCAAGAGTACAAAGTAAAAAACTAAATATCCCCACCTGTGAAGTGTAATGGGGTGAGTGTTACAGTGTATTTCACAAATTTACTGTGCTTGTACTGTACCCTGTGGAAAAAAAAAATATAAGTCACTTTAATTTACCATAACATAACAAAGCAAGGATAAAAGAATACATCACATCCCCCAACTCACATAACTCCCCATCTACTTCCCACCCACACTAAAAAAGGAGCTGTTGTGCTTTGACACTGGTACTGGTACAGCAGCCAGTAACTAACACTAAGAATGTTTTAAGAAGTAAAAGCACAAAACATACAACCACATTCTACTTTGTACACACTATAGTATATTTCTGTTGTCACGATCGCAAACCCCTCCTCTTAAGGGCGCTCCAGCCCTTCCTCGTTAGCCTCATTCCCCGCACCTGTTCCTTGTTTCTACCCTGTTTCAGTTCGCCTTTAAAAGCCAGGCGCTCACTTCACTTGAGGTTCTGCATCTGAGCTTTGTGTTGCGCGAGCCCGGGTCGTGGTTGCGCTTGGGTCCGTTATGGTTTTAGCTTCTTGCGCCTGTTTTTAATCCCTGGTTTTCGGATGGATTACTCGGCCATGGACCTTTGCTTTCGTTTTGGATTCTCCCTTTGGATTTCTTCTGGATTGTTTGCCTCGGCTACACGCCCCCCTGTTTTCATTCCCATATTCCTGCATTACTTTTTCCCTACTGTTTCCTCACAATTCTGGATTGTGTCGTCCGTTTATGGTCTGAAAGAACTGTTCGTTACATCTGTTAACTAAAAGTACTTCAGTATGCTAATAACAGTTACACAAAACTCAACAGGATGAGGTAACAGCATGACAGACGCCCAGTAAGGAAATTACACAAGAAGAAAGGTATACTGTATGTACTGTACAGTCCAATTAAGCAAGACACCTGTAGCTGCACTCCACAATGGCACCAACCTCACCACTCACCACCACAACACCCAGGTGATAGAAAGCTCCATACTAGTACTGTGTTGAAAGGCCAAAATACAGTGTCACCAGGGAAGGTTGTGAAAGTGAAGGTTTCTACTGTAACTAAGTGTCAACATCTTTCAGCAAATGTCACTTTACTTATTGACTTACATACATACCATGTACAGTATATTCCTTTGCTTTCACATGCTACTGTATACAGAGCTGTGTCTCTTGATTTAAATGGCAATGCACATTTCTATATCTCATGGTTGTTACTGTAAATAAACACAAGTGTAGTGAGAGCCTTGCATGAAAAGGGGATATTGGTTTTTTGTGGTTAAATAAAATGGATACTGGTGAATGGAGAGTTTTCTATCCTGTACTGTACATACTGTAGTCCAGCAGGGTCAAACAAGGTATACTGTATATTCAATATGATCAAAGAAAACAAAATATCAAGGCTAAACAGATGTACAGTACCTGGACATCTCTGGTAACACAAAATTCAATTGGTATGGATGTGAGTGATTTGTTCAGTAATAAATGTCTTTTTCATTTTTTCCACTTCTTTTGTAGTTATTTTGAAACATTGTTTACAAATACAGATATTGTTGTTAAAAGGGCCTGTTACGTTTTAAGGTTTTGATGTACTGTATTTTGGGATCGAAGCTACATGAAATTTCCATTGAGTATAATCCTCTTTCATCACTTTAGGCAGGCTGTACAAAACTCAGAGATGTGAATGATTATATGTTGTCAGCCAAAGATGACATCCTTGGTGCTATGTGCTTTGATTATATAATAAAACACAGAAATTCCTTGCAGGGATTAATTCAAAGTTAAAGAAGAAAACAGTGGGAAAAATAAAATCGCCCTCCTCGGTCTCTACAGAATTGAAAATCATTCCTCCTGGATATACTGTAATAGAGACTCTGGGACATCAAAACAATATAACATACAAAAATGATTGATAAATGAAAAGCAAGTGGATTGATGCAGTTGTTCTCTCACCCATACAGTAGTGGCTTCTTAGAAACTGAACTGTACGGTAGTTCCCAAGAAACAAAATCATACATTTTTAACCCTAGAACATTGTTACTAAATTTCACATTCTTCCACAGTGAACAATTTTACTTGCTTTTTATGCATTTACAATTTTAATGAGGTGAAATTGTTAACCTCCATATCTGGATAATATTCTGTAATTACAAATACTGTATATTTTGTCATACTAATTATATATATAGACTTGTTTTCAAGTTCAATTTGGTAATTTTATGAAATGAACTTTATGAAAAGGGAATTCCTGCCAGAGATGATTAACAGATGTTAAAGTTTTCTGTGGATCATCCTGATGGGATTCACAATTATTCTGGAGTCATAATATAAATGGTACTTTATAAGTAATTAAAATGTATAGTTTCTGCAGTACAGAGAATGTAGACTGTGAAAGAGAGTTATGTCCTGAAACATCTATTGCTCCCTAATTTCCCCTGATGCAAAACTGATTGTCATCCAAAAACCAAGACTGGTAGAATCTGTCTGCCTGATTATTTTTGCTTGCTTTATAAATTTGAAACTTAAGTTGCTTGATCTGCTGAAAACAAAGAAATCTCTGAAGAATCACATGTAGCGTTAGGAGCAACTTCAACAATATTTCCTCACAACAAACATTTTTGTAGTAAAAGGTCTTTTCAACTAAATAGCTCATTTAGATCTTGCTGAAGACTTCATTAAGACAACAGTCACGTCTCTGAGTCTGTTGAAAACTGTTTAACTGAAACGTGGGATCCATAACAGTATATCAGTGTAAGCTGGAACGTATTAATTTAAAAACCTTTAATCCATGCGATGAAATTATAACAATTACTATATGTAATACAAGACATGAGAACTGTCTTTGGAAACCTGGGGCTGCATTTATCATATTATTGATCAGCATACTTGAATAAAAATTGATTTTGTGAGATAAAATTAATTAGAGTATGTTGTTCATGGACAGATGAGAAATATTATGATTTCTGAGTCATTGGGAATTTGAGATTCAAAAGAGCGACAAATCGCACAGCCTGGTATGTATCAGTAATACGAAATACAAAATGTATATATTGCAGTATATTGAACTTTACAACAAATAGCAGATGTTTCACTTTCAAATTAGAAGAATAGGCCTGTGTTCATATCAATTGCATCGACTCATACATACATGCATTTCAATAGTTCAATTAGATCCTAATGAAAGCGATAGAGGGATGAATATATTAGGGGTTATTTGGTGTAACTCGCCCAGCTGAGAGAACCCCAGCCTGCTAAGAAGAAAGAGGCTGACAGAACCCTTCTCATGAGGAATAAGCCAGGGAGCTGCTGCCAGGGTGCAGACAAAGTGGC